CTAGTTCTGTGGGGCTCCACCTTTAATTACCCCACTCGCAGCATACTTCCAGGGCAGAGGCCAATGGGAGTGGGAGTTGGGGGGGGGGTTAGGGTGGGGAGGACAAAGAAAAAAAATTAACAGGAATTTACTCCTTTCTTTGGGTTCACAGCTTACTAATGAAGACAAAAGTGCTTTTCCTCAGAGTTTGGCCCATGTTGGTCTACTGTTGCCCCTACAGGGCCTGGGGCATAAGAAGGAGGAAAGAAGGAAAGAACAGGCTTCTGTACTATTTCTGGCATCAGCGTTCACTTTGCCACGTTTCTTGCACCAGGAACAAAGACCATCTCCTGGAGCTCAGCCTGTTGCCTGCTCCTCACTTCTAGGTTTCAGGTTCCACTGTACTCAGGTAAAGGAACAACTGGGGACAAAACTGATAAATTTACTGCCAGTTTACAAATAATTCAAAATCTGGTGTTCTTCCTCAATGTTCTTAGGATTTACTTTTCAAAGTCCTCAAAGATTAATAGATGCTTCATTAATTCTGTCCAGGTTCTGTGCTCCCTGGAAGAGATGGGGGGAATGTACTTACTCTATCATCTCCAGAACGAAAATCTCCACACCTAATTTTTATAGACGCTATTATTAAGTTCATAATATGAGCCAGAACTATGCTTTTACTTCTATAACTCTTAACAACCCCCCACGAGTTAGATTTAGCATAGTTATGTATTATAATCTTCATTTTATACATAAGGAAACAGATGCCTAAAAAGATAAAGTACTTTACCAGAGGTTACCTGACTAATGATAGAATTCATAGTAGTAGGCCTTAAGAATTACTCTATAATACCCTTAGACCACCTGCTCCAAAATCAACTACACAGTGCTTGTTAAAATTTCCTGTGCCCCACCCCAGATATACTAAATCAAAATCCTTGGGAATGGGGCTAAAGGACATTTCTATGCATACTAAACTTGAGAACCAATACATACTGCCTCCAATAAAAGAAGCCTTCAGTCTACATGACTTTATAAAGAATGTCAATATTCAGGACTTTGAATAGGAATCCCCATTAGTGTTAGCATCAGATAGCTTAAAATAGCTTACATATGTTCACTTTCCCTACACTTCTGTATCATGTTAAAAATTAGAATAAGATTTGTTACAGGCCAAGCTTCACTTTATAACAGGAATATTTTCTGGACCCTAAGCCTTGAACCTACTGTTCTTGCTTCCATTCCAACTCTTGACAATGGGATCTTCCTAATAGGGCCTTCTCCAAGAAGTATTAGTCAACTAGAATATAAAATTCTATTTTGGAGATAGACTAGGCATGAGCAAATCCCAATCATTCACAGAACATCATGCACGTTTTTCCCCCTGAGGGAGAGTTACTGCATCTTCCTAAAAAAACCTACTCAGAAAAAGAACAATTTTGATGGGCTGACTGTCAAAAACTGAAGACCTCAGTAGGAGTATGTTCTCCAAATAATATATGAGCATAAAGCAGCAGTTCTCAACCTATGGGTTGCAACCCCTTTTTAACAATGAAAATACATCGCAGCATTAGGAAGGTTGAGAACTACTGGTGTAAACAATTGGGTAACGTTGTTTGCATTCATTAGGTAAACTCCAAGTTCTAGTTGAGCCCTTCACCCAGGAGATGTGCCATATACCCCTACATTGTACTCTTTAGTTGAGAACTTACTAAACCCTTTCCCTCCTCTCCTGTGGCCTCTCCCTCCTACTACAACCCTCCACTTGAATTCAATTGTACTTCTTGTGTGGACATGTAGTTGAGTAGGTGAAAATTATCTCTCACCTAACGGGTACAATGTAGGGACATATGGCACACCACCTGGGTTAAAGGCTCAAGTACAACTTGGACTTTATCGAGCAAACACAAACAATGTAACCTAATTGTTTCTACCCATATATTAATCTGAAAAAAAAAAAACTGAACACCTTACCTTCTATAAGACCAGTTGGAATGATGACCCCATTAATAAATAAATAAATCTGAAGAAATATTTAGAAGAAATTCACTCACTATATATAACTAGGAGGGGAGGAGAACCTTGCATCACAATAGGAAAACCTTAGGTGATAAGGTTTTTAGGGCAAGTTTAAATATAAGGATATAATTATGAAAATCTGAAAAGGTCAATTAGATTGCAGCATTCTGATGCCTATTAAATGATGTACTCAATGCTAAAATCCTACACACATAAAACTTTTCATCTGAGAATCTCAAAGAATTTTATAGACATAGCCTTAATGGCTCATAATAGGAATTATCATTCCTAGTCCACATGTGGGAAAATCAAGGTCAAGCATGCCATTCTCTGAGGCCCTCTGATACATTCCTTTTTTTAAAAAATGTGTAATAACACACTATAACAATAAATCATATCTAGTACTAAGCTTATGGCAAATACTCTGCTTTGAAATAAAAATCTCTTTCAAAAAATGTTCTTATGGATATTTATGAGGAAGTTCAAAAGTTTCAAATTGATCAGCAGTAATGAATCAAAAATAAAAAGAATTCAGTACAGTTATTTTCAACAGTGAAGATTATGTCAACCAGTAATTTTCTCCCCCCACTCAACATTCTGGAGAGAGAAAACTCCAAAACATATGGCCCAGGAAGAAAATCTGTACTCGTTTATAGCAATGAACTGGCTTTTACATCTCTTCAGATAGAGTACGCAAATGACTTCACAGGCAACAGCTTCCGTATGGTTCATATTTTTAACATTGACCGTTCATAATAAAGATTCTTTGATCCAAGATCAAATGTTTGAATCAATTTTCTCCACACTTACTCAGAGTCACCATTATAAAAGTTCCCCTCCTTCCCACCTCAGATGTTCCAACCCTTCCTGCAGTCAGAACTATCTCCATTTGTCACCTTCTCCATGGTACTTCCCATCCTTTTTGCTGTGGTTTTTGGCTCTGCTGGTTAATCTCTCAAACAAAAGAGGCAAAGTAATAAATAATTTGTACATAATAAGTTAACTACAACATATAAGATTCCTCTAAGGAATTCACAGGCATCATTCATAAAACTAAAAACTCATAGTAGCATCATTAGTACAAAAATGAATTGCTCTCAATCATGAAAAAGAAATTCCTCAATAGGTAATACCTTGGCAAAAAATAAAAAAAAAAAAAAACAAATATATTTTTAAAAACTAGATTCTATTTCTGAAATTAGAACTGGAAAAAGTTAACAGATATCTAAGGCCTTGAATTTAAAAAAAAAAAAAAGACCAAAAGTCTAGATAAATAGTAAAACCACCAAATTTAAAAAAAAAGGATTTAGGCAATCCTAAAAATTTAGAATATTCCTAACAAAAATAAATGTTTTAAATTATTCCAAAGCCTTTTTTAAGGCCTTATTAAGGAGCAACACTTTAATATGAACTTAATTCTTAAAGCTTAAAACACAAATATTGTGGAAAGGTACTCACTAAGCAAAAGCTAAGTTCTTCTGCATGGCCAAGAACACAGTAAGTAAAGCAAGCAGACAGCGGGAGAAGATATTTGCAGGTTATATCTCCAACAAAGTTTTAATAACCAGAATGCACAGAGAACTCAAATGTATTAACAAGAAAAGAACAAGTGATCCCATTCCAGGGTGGGCAAAGGACTTGAACAGAAACTTCTCTGAAGAAGACAGGCACATGGCTTACAGACACAGAAAGAAATGTTCATCATCCTTAATCATCAGAGAAATGCACATCAAAACTACTTTGAGATATCAACTAACTCCAGTAAGATTAGCCCACATCACAAAATTCCCAAACCAGAGATGTTGGTGTGGATGTCGAGAAAAGGGAACACTTCTACACTGCTGGTGGGAATGCAAACTAATATGTTCCTTTTGGAAAGATATCTAGAGAACACTTAGAGATCTAAAACTAGACCTTCCATTCGATCCTCTACTAGGTATATATCCAAAAGACCAAAAATCACATTAGAAAAAAAAGATATATGTACCAGAATGTTTATTGCAGCCCAATTCATAATTGCTAAGTCATGGAAGAAACTCAAGTGCCCATCGACTCACGAATGGATAAATATATTGTGGTATATGTACACTATGGAAAATTATGCAGCCTTAAAAAAAGATGGAGAATTTACCTTTTACATGTTTACATGGATGGAGCTGGAACATATTCTTCTTAGCAAAGTATCTCAAGAATGGAAAAAAAAGTATCTCATGTACTCAGTCTTACTACAAAACCAATTTATAGCTTTCTTATGAAAGCTATAACCCAATTATAGCCCAAGAAGAAGGGGAAAGGGGAGAGGGAGCGGAGGGACGAGGGGAGGATGGGTGGAGGGAGAGTAATTGGTGCGAGCACACCTATGGTGCATCTTACAAGGGTACATGTGAAATTTACTAGGTGTAGAATATAAATGTCTTAACATAATAACTAAGAAAATGCTGTGAAAGCTATGTTAACCAGTTTGATGAAAACATTTCAAATTGTATGTAAAACCAGCACATTGTAGCCCATGATTGCATTAATGTACACAGCTATGATTTAATAAAATAAATAAACTAATTAATTAATTAATTTATAGTAGTAAATAAAATAGGAGTAGCTTAACTATATCTGGGCCTAATTAAACTGAAAGAAGGAAGGAATGAAGGAAGGGATGCAGGGAAAGGGAAGGAGGGAAGGAGAGAAGGAGAGAGAGAAGAGGGAACGAGAAATCTCAGTGTTAAAAATCCCTTTAAAATTGATTTTTTTTCTTTCCCTTTTTATTTAGACTGGTAGATAGATAAAATTTTAGAATACTTAAGCTACTATAATTCTTCATTTCAAAATATAGCAAAATATCACAATGACAAGAATATAAAGTGCTAATTCCGACTCTGCCCTTACTATCTGTAAGTATAAAAATGGTGTACTATTAGGTGATCTAGGCAAAAGTAAACTTCCCTGGCTTCATATAAGTGAATTGTTGCATATATTATCTGCTTATCCTAAAAATTACAGATTACCTTGCACACAGTAGCAAACTGTTGGTTATTTCCTGCTCCAACCACAAGATAGCCATCCTTGGTTTTAAAGGCCTAAAATAAATAAATAAATAAATAAAAGTTTATATGTTGACAAGACCACAAAAGTTGCTTTAATGTATAAATCATTTCTAAAAAATCTTATTCTAAATAAAGCAATGTTATTAATTAATTCAATATCAACAATTTAGTATTTGTTCTTCTCATATTTGGATAGGCGTTTTCAGTGAGGAATTTCAAACTACTTCCTAGCTCTTCCACCAACTGTTATAACATTGAATTAAAAAAGAGTGAATCAGAAATGTAAAGAAAATATTGGAGTGTTTTTATAACTCATAACATGAAATTGTATATTCATTACAGTGTGGAATAATGTTGTCTACAGCCATACCACCTTGAACATGCTCAATCTCATCTGGTACTGGATTAATGTCGAATTTTTCAAAATTTTATCATTTATCTGTTCTCATTTTTCCTTGTAGGGCAAATAACATTGAAGGGCAAAAAGCACTGTCTTCTACAAAGAGTAAAAAGAATAGATGGCAAAAGGAAGGAATGAAAGAAGAAGGAAAGGAGACATGGAAAGAGGAATGGAAAAGGAAGGAAGAAAGGAAAGAAAGGAGAATGAGTTCAGGGAGCTTTATTTCTTCTTGGAAGATATCAAATATATAAACTTTGGGTACTTTTTAGTAGTAAAAATTAACACATTAGGATCTCTCTGGACCTCATGTGGCTTTATGTACCTGAAAACGTCTACTCCTTTTTAGAGACAGGTTCGTCTGGACAGCAAGGGACCTGTGAGTGATTGACATTTTCACCACCCACAACTCTATCCCATCTGGAGAAATTTTCAGCACTCCCTTCTCCACAGATGATCCTCACAGCGCAGTTGGAGGAACCAAACTTGCTTTCAGAAGGCCTCATTCTCATTTTCCAAAAGTAAATGAGCTGTTTGAATTTCTTTTCCTTCTATGTAAAATTGCTTTTTATCTTCTCTTTCTCTTACCTCTGAGAAAGACATCTATCTTCCCTGACAGGGCTCACTCGTATGCTCATGACTTTGGTGTCACATTCACTCACATCCTCCAGACCCCTGCTCAATCTTCTTAATTCTTTCACAGCTACAGAATCTTTCTCTTCTGTCTACATATATACTCATCCCTACACTGAAAACACTTTTAACAGCAAGAAAATAAATTCCCATCAATCCTGACACCTCTCTTTGAGGTATTTTGAATTTTTCTTTCTTCCTTCCATTTCTAAATGATATAAAAGTACTGGTTCCTCACCAATACTAATTTCAGTGTCTTTTGTTATCAGTATTCTTTTCCTGTTGTTACACTGAAACTATATTTTATTTGACTCATCTGCTTTGTTAGAGAATGTTAAACATCCCCTCTTCTGGAACCTGTCATCTCTGGGCTCTGCCCAGGTTCATCTATCTCTCTGACCTCTTTTCCCCAGACCCCTTTTGCACAATTTTTCTCTTCTGCTCTCAGTATTCCTTTAAGCATCTGTCTTGGTCTTTCACTTCACTTGCTTCTTACAATAGCCATTGGCGACATGCGGTCATTACATTTAAATAAACTAAAATTAAATTAGCCACTAACAAACAATCACTTACTGTGATTCCATTTATATAAAATATCTAAAATAGGCAACTCCACAGAGAGAAAAAAAAGATTTGTGGGTGCCGAAAGCTGGAGAAATTGGAAAAGGGGAGTGACAGCTAATGAGTACTGGGTTTCTTGTTAGGGTAATAAAAATGTTCTAAAATTGATTGTGGTGATGGCTGCACAACTCTGTATGCCCTAAAAAGGTCATTGAATTGTATACTTGACATGGCTGAATTACATGGTGTATGAATTATATCTTAAGGAAGCTGTTATTTTTAAAAATTTAATTAATTCAGATCCACATTAGCTACATGTCCAACATTAAAAAACCACATGCAGCTGGTGGCTACTGCATTAGACAGCACCGATACAGAACATTTCCACCATCACAGAATGTTCTGCTGTACCCATGCTGATAGACTGGAGCTAACAGATTGTATCTTTTTTCTCTTAGTCTTCCTACTAGGCTTAACATGATAAGTGAAGAATGTTAGATAATTAATGAATAGTTGGTAAATGTTAATTAATCAATTACTTCCAGATAATAGAATTGTAGCTAAAATGGATTCCAAGTAAAACACTATAATGAGGTTTTATTCTATTTACATGGTTGCTTTATTTGGTAAGGAATGCTACTAAGAAGATGCCACATGATGTCTTAAGCATTTTAAACATCTATTTTAAAATTTTAAATATTTTCCCTTGACCACCATAACAAAAGCAAAGTTAATTGTCATAGATAATGCATTTGTATTTCTCAAAATACAGAAAGGAAATCTGCAACAGAACTATGAGTGAGGTACAAAAGATCTTGACATGAGGTCTCCCAACAAACCATTAATCACTATGCATTTACATGGGTTGTTTGCTTGCTTTTTTGTGGGGAAGGGTGAGCAGATAAATAAGTGTGATGTAACAATGTGTGCAGCCAAGTATAATGTGAGAAAAAGTTTTCAAAATTTTGAATCAGTGACATGTTCAGTAACTTTATGTTTGGGGGAGGGTACTAATTTCCTTTCAAGAAATAAAGAATTGCCTGTTTCTTCCTTCAGTCTGTACCATATCATGAAATACAACTTTATCAATATAAAACTTTTAAAATTTTAAGCAGAGATAACTAGTGAGTGGGCACTGGAAAGTGAAAACTTAGTAGCAGCTGAAACACCAGAATAAAATGAAATTAAAGATCACCAAATAGATTTTATAAGGACTGAATTATTGCTATAGTGTTAGTTAACAAAAATTTTTTTTGCTACCAACTTACTCATTTTATTGAAAACAAATATTAAAGATTCACCTTTTCCAGATTGCCTCTTTTTGCTGCACCTACCAATGCAGGTAAAGATATTTTTAATGAGAACTTTTTAAAAAATAATATCCTATCACTATAGAAAATTGGGCGAGTACATGAAAACATAAGGAGGAATAAATTATTGATACGCATGCTACCATCCCCTGAAGAAATACCTGGTAATAAGTTGGGATACTTCTTTCTAGTTTCTTTGTATTCATCTTAACATAATTAATATCTTACTATCCATAAATTTCTAGTCTGCTTTTTTTTTCATTTAACATCCTATCACAAGCATTTCTGAATATCATTGTTTTTAATGACCCAAAATATCTATTTCAAAATTTGTTTAAACATTCTCAGTTCATTTAAACTGAAGGATGTTTTTGCTTTGTTTCTTTTCAAATCAAGCCCTATACTGTACAGTTTATATCACAAATAAAAAATTATTTAATTTCATCATGAAACTCTGAAAAAAGTTGTCTAACCTAATTAAGATCCTTTAAAAGCTATCTTTGCCCTAATAAGACATGGAGAATATAATAGCAAAATGAATCATAGGTCTCTCATTTACTTAACCTAAGTGATACTGGGCAGGTTATCTATTTCAGACCCTTAATTTTTATACAATACTTCCCTTTAGAATCATTACAATCACTAAGTTCACTAAAGTATACTTATTTATGTATTTGGCAAATATTTATTGACATAACTTACCATGTGCCAGACTCTGGGGACAAGTAAAAAATACTAAATAACCATGATCCTTTACATGAGACTTACATTCTAACAAAGTATCAGAATTTAATAGACATTCAACAAATAATTACAAGCAGTAGCAGGTACTAGAAAGGAAAAGTATAGGACACAAATGAGATGTTATAATAGGTGGATTTAATCTTATTTTGATTGAGGGCTTTGAGGCTAGGAAAGATTCCCTAGAAAAGTGATCTTTGAACTGAGATCTAAAATTTATAGGCATTAAGTAGGTAAAGGGCTGCAGAAGATGAAGGGCTTGCTCCATGTTGGCAATGATGAGGTCCGTGTTGGCAATGAGAACTGTATGTGCAAATGACCTGTGGTATAAAGAAGCAACAACCATGAAAAGAAAAGAGTAAAAGTAGCACAGTTGGCGCTACAAAGGTAGACATGGAGCCAGACAAAGTCAAGGCATACAAAATACATTATTTATCATAAAATTAATGGGACGTCACCAAAAAGACTTGAATAATATTATTTCCTTTAGAAGATTTTTCCTAGCTGCAGTGCACAGAACTGACTAGAGAGTAAGATTGGAAATAAAAAAATATGGATGGATCAAGGGATTAGATCTTAATGAAACTGAATAACTTCCCAAGCAAACGGAGAATATATGAACCAGAAAGGCATGGAGGCTCAGTGTTCAGTTTCTCTACTTAAAGCAGTTTCAGACTCAGTATTTGATGACACCTGAGAGGCTAGAAGGTGGAGTTATAAGGTACAAGAGCAGAGAATACTCAGCACATGTAAAGGCAGAGATATTCTAGAATTGCTCTGGCTCTTGGAAGTTTCTAGCCCTGCCCAGAGAGGTCGCTTTGTAAGCTTCAGACACACTAGCCTGGTCTCATGATGGTTTAATTATTAAGATGAAAACACATAAAGACTTTTAGAAGTTCCATACCAACTCAATATACCATATAAAGAAGTAGAAAAAGGAAAAATTATATGTTTGGAACTTCCTGTGTTATCTTCTTAGGCAATCATTTCAATGCATCTAGTGTTTCCCCAGCCTAATAAAATTTATACAAATAAGTAGTATGTCTACATTAAAAACAAGACCAGAACTTCAAGCCTTCCAAGGGCTACTTACTTTTTAACAAGATTTTCTTCCACAAAAGGTAACCCTTGCTAAATGACTTCATCATCCACTGGAAAAAGACATTCCATGAAGTTTAACTCACTGCCATGAGAACGTTTTCTGGAATGTCAAGCAGTTATTGACTTCTGGGTCTGTGCTGGTACATCGTGACAAATATAGAGCACTATTTCCTACCACTAACAGTTCAGTTCACCTTATGGTGCTGGAGCTGGGCTGAGCCAGATGGCAATGAGGCACAGACTGCTTACAAATCAAGAACAGTGTCATCCATGGATAGAACAATGCAGCA